CCCAGGTATTCAAAAGTTGGTCCCACGGTATGACCAATGTCTCAATTCTGGTGGCGAATATGTTGAAAAATAGCTGGACACTTGCTGTATCTGTTGCAATAAATATTTCCATGAAATTGTGTTTTGTTTCTGTAAACGGCCCCAGGGAAACTTACTTTGTGGACGAGCCTCGTATTTAAGTTTCAAACTGATCTCTGTCAGTCATCAGATTCCAAGAATTCAAATAGTTCATCTTCTGAGGCAGGAATTGGCTTATGTTGAGGGGGCTTTTTCCTTGCCTCAATGAACTTTCTTAATAAACTGTGTTTGTATTTACGTACATGACCAGTGTATGTAGAAGTGTCGGCGTCCGTAGAAGTGTCGGTGGAATAGGAAGTGTCAGTGTCCTCGGAGGTGGAGGAGTCGTCTGTGGACGTGTCATTTTTCGTGATAACTGCAGCGGTGGTCTGAGTTGAGGCGTTTGAAAACCCAGCGGTTGTTCCAGTGGAAGGTCCCGTGGCCGTTGTGGCACTGAGGTGATCGGTAGGATTTGGTGCAATGAAAGTTTCAATGCCAGCAGTAGCACGAGCATCTGCGGAAGTCGAGGCAATTGTCCTGGCGGTATGAATGTCGGTAGTTGTGGCAATTAAAGGATCGGTCTCTGTTCTGGCAGTAAAAATACCAGTAGCTGTTATGAAAGGTTCAATCTCTGCTGTGGCAATAGACGTATCAGCACATGTGACAATGAATGGATCCTTCTTTGCTGCGGCAGTAGGAATGTCAGTAGCTGCTGTGGTAATGATAAGATCCTTCTTTGCTGCGGCAGTATGAATGTCAGTAGCTGCTGTGGTAATGATAAGATCCTTCTTTGCTGCGGCAGTAGGAATGTCAGTAGCTGCTGTGGTAATGATAAGATCCTTCTTTGCTGCGGCAGTAGGAATGTCAGTAGCTGCTGTGGTAATGATAAGATCCTTCTTTGCTGCGGCAGTAGGAATGTCAGTAGCTGCTGTGGTAATGATAAGATCCTTCTTTGCTGCGGCAGTAGGAATGTCAGTAGCTGCTGTGGTAATGATAAGATCCTTCTTTGCTGCGGCAGTAGGAATGTCAGTAGCTGCTGTGGTAATGATAAGATCCTTCTTTGCTGCGGCAGTAGGAATGTCAGTAGCTGCTGTGGTAATGATAAGATCCTTCTTTGCTGCGGCAGTAGGAATGTCAGTAGCTGCTGTGGTAATGATAAGATCCTTCTTTGCTGCGGCAGTAGGAATGTCAGTAGCTGCTGTGGTAAT